CCCAAAGAGTCGTGGTAAATGGAGTCAAGTCCAGTTGGAGGCCAGTCACTAGTGGCGTTCCCCAGGGCTCGGTGCTGGGGCCGGTCCTCTTTAATATCTTCATCGATGATCTGGACGTGGGCATTGAGTGCACCTTCAGTAAGTTTGCAGATGACACCAAGCTATGCGCGTGTGTCGATCTGCTTGAGGGTAGGAAGGCTCTGCAGGAGGATCTGGATAGGCTGGACCGATGGGCTGGGGTCAACTGCATGAAGTTCAACAAGGCCAAGTGCCGGGTCCTGCACCTGGGGCACAACAACCCCAAGCAGAGCTACAGACTGGGAGATGAGTGGTTGGAGAGCTGCCAGGCAGAGAAGGACCTGGGAGTATTGGTTGATAGTCGACTGAATATGAGCCAGCAGTGTGCTCAGGTGGCCAAGAAGGCCAACAGCATCCTGGCTTGTATCAGAAACACTGTGACCAGCACGGCTAGGGAGGTGATCGTCCCCCTGTACTCGGCTCTGGTGAGGCCGCACCTCGAGTACTGTGTTCAGTTTTGGGCCCCTCGCTACAAGAAAGACATCGAGGTGCTTGAGCAAGTCCAGAGAGGGGCAATGAAGCTGGTGAAGGGTCTGGAGAACAAGTCTTACGAGGAGCGGCTGAGGGGGCTGGGATTGTTCAGCCTGGAGAAAAGGAGGCTCAGGGGTGACCTTATCGCTCTTTACAGGTACCTTAAAGGAGGCTGTAGCGAGGTGGGGGTTGTTTTATTCTCCAACGTGCCTGGTGACAGGACGAGGGGGAATGGGCTTAAGTTGCGCCAGGGGAGTTTTAGGTTAGATGTTAGGAAGAACTTCTTTACCGAAAGGGTTGTTAGACATTGGAACAGGCTGCCCAGGGAAGTGGTGGAGTCACCATCCCTGGAAGTCTTTAAAAGACGTTTAGATGTAGAGCTTAGGGATATGGTTTAGTGGGGACTGTTAGCGTTAGGTCAGAGGTTGGACTCAATGATCTTGAGGTCTCTTCCAACCTAGAAATTCTGTGATCCTGTGATCATTTGTTGCCAGGGGGGAGGGGTGGAAGCTTTCCCTTCATTATCTGCTACTGTGAACATAGTAACTAAAGTAATTCTAGAACAAAGAACTCCCAGGTATGGAACTGTTGAAAATACTGACTGTGATCAAGGAAATCACTTTATGTCAGAAATATTGCAAGGGCTAATGTGGACTCCAGGAATTAAATGTAAGTTTCAATGTAAGTTTCACACTCCTTGGCATCCTTCCTCTTCTGGAAGGGTGGAGCAGATCAGACAGTAAAGATGCAATTGACTAAGTTCTGGAAACTCAGCTTCCCCAAACAAAATGCTTATCTTTGGCACTTCTCTGAATTTGAACTGCACCAAGAAAATCTGTGGGAGTTTCAACATATGAAATAATATTTGGATTGCTGTACAAGGACAAAGGGAATGAATTACCTCAATTTAAGACAAAAGATGTTTTTCGGGCTGTTGTCCTCTTTATCATCTCTCAGGACCATTAGCTAAAACCCTACCTGTGGAAGTCCTAATCCATCCATTCCAAGCTGGAGATTGTGTTTTGATGTGAACATGGAGAGAATCAAAGCTGTAACCTGAGTGGGAAGGACTGTTACAAGTGCTCCTGACTACTGAGACGACAGTAAGAACAGCTGAGAAAGGGTGTGTCCTGGTTTCAGTTAGAACAGAATTAATTTTCTTCCTAGTAGCTGGTGGAATGCTGTGTTTTGGCTTAGGATGAGAAGAGTGCTGATAACACCCCGATGCTTTAGTTGTTGCAGAGCTCACCCTCCCCCCTCCCTCTCTGGGACGGGGGAGAGAAATGGAAAGTGAAGCCCATGAGTTGAGATAAAGACAGTTTAATAAGACAGGAAAATAATAATAACAAAAAAAAATAATAACAATAATAATAATAATAATACAATGGTGATAATAGGAAAGTAATAATAATATGTACAAACAAGTGATGCACAATGCAATTGCTCACCACCCACTGACCGATGCCCAGCCTAACCCCGAGCAGTCCGGCCCCCTCCCCCCGGCTAGCCACCCCTATATATTGTTTAGCATGACGTCAGATGGTATGGAATACCCCTTTGGCTAGTTTGGGTCACCTGTCCTGGGTCTGTCCCCTCCCAGCTCTTACTGCACCCCCAGCCTGCCCGTTGGCAGGACAGAGCAAAAGGCTGAGATGTCCTTGGCTTAGTATAAGCACTGCTCTGCAACAATTAAAGCATCGGGGTGTTATCAGCACTCTTCTCATCCTAAGCCAAAACACAGCATTCCACCAGCTACTAGGAAGAAAATTAATTCTGTTCTAACTGAAACCAGGACAGAGTGAACTTAGGGTGAACTTGCTGCCTAGAAGCACAAGATCAGGCAATTCCAAAATATCAAAAGTCAGGCAGGTGGGGCAGAAGGCTGGCCTGGCTGACCAGAGATCTTCCACTGGAGCTTAGGTGAAAAAAGAAAGTGTATGGCTGCTGGAAGGAGGGTCAGGCGATGGGGAAGGAATACAGGGACACTGTTCATGTTGTCAGGAGAAAATTCGGGTGGCCAAAGCCCCGCTAGAGTTGAAGCTGGCCAAGACTGTGGGAGACAATAAAAAAGGGTTTTTTAGATATGTGAACAGAAAAAGGAAGACCAAAGAAAACATAGGTCCACTACTTGATGGGGAAGGTCTCCTTACAGACAATGACGTAGACAAAGCAAAGATGTTTAATGCCTTCTTCACCTCTGTCTTCAACACTGATGATGGGCTTCAGGACCCTGGGTGCCCTAAGCTGGAGGACCATGATGGTGGGAATAATAAACTCCCAACCGACCCTGAACATATGCAAGATTTGCTGCTCCACCTGGATCCATACAAACCCATGGGTTGGATAGGATTCATCCCAGGGTGTTTAAAGAGATGGCTGATGTCATCGTGGGACCTCTCTCAATTATTTTTCAACGCTCTTGGAAATCTGGAGAAGTCCCAGTAGACTGGAAGCTAGAAAATGTGCTAATTTTCAAGAAGGGTAAGAAAGAAGACCCTGGTAACTACAGGCCTGTCAGTCTCACATCAGTTCCTGGTAAAATTATGGAGAAGATGATTCTTGAAGTTATTGAAGCGCACCTGGGAGACAATGCGGTCATTGGTCGCAGCCAACATGGGTTCATGAGGGGTAGGTCATGACTAACAAATTTGATTTACTTTTATGATAAGCTCACCCATCTAGTCAATCAAGGGAAACCAGCTGATGTGATCTTTTTGGACTTCAGCAAGGCTTTTGACATAGTTTCCTGTAGGATCCTACTGGACAAATTGTCCAGCATACGACTTAACAAAAACATCATTCAGTGGGTGAGCAATTGGCTAATGGGCAGGGCTCAAAGGGTTGTGGTAAATGGGGCCACATCTGGCTGGTGGATGATCACTAGTGGGGCCCCTCAAGGCTCCACTTTAGGACCAGTCCTCTTCAGTGTTTTTATAAACGATTTGGATGTAGGACTAGAAGGTGTTCTGAGCAAATTTGCTGATGACACCAAACTTGGAGGAGTTGTGGACTCAGGTGAGGATGGAAAAGCCTTGCAGAGAGACCTGGACAGATTGGAGAGCAGGGCAATCACCAACCACATGAAATGTAACAAAAGCAAGTGCCGGATCCTGCACCTGGGACGAGGCAACCCTGTATTTACGTACAGACTGGGTGACGAGGCACTGGAAAGCAGCCCTGCAGAGAGGGATCTGGGGGTTGTGGTTGACAGCAATTTGAATATGATCCAGCAGTGTGCCCTGGCAGCCAGGAGGGCCAACCGTATCCTGGGGTGCATCAAGTACAGCATTGCTAGTCGGTCGAGGGAGGTGATTCTCCTGCTTTACTGGTCTGCACTGGTCCAGCCTCATCTCGAGTAATGTGTGTGCAAGATGTACAAGGTGGGCAATGTACAAGAAGGACATTAAACTGTTGGAGAGTATCCAGAGGAGGGCTACGAAGATGGTGAAGGACCTAGAGTGGAAGATATACGAGGAGTGGCTGAGGTCACTGGGCCTGTTCAGCCTGGAGAAGAAGAGGCTGAGGGTGGACCTCATCATGGTCTACAACCTCCTCGTGAGGGGGAGTGGAGAGGCAGGCAACATACTCTCTGTAAATACCAGTGGTAGGACCTGACAGAATGGTGTTAAGCTGAGGCAGAGGAAGTTTAGGCTTGACATCAGGAAGAGGTGCTTCACCAAGAGGGTGGTTGCACACTGGAACGGGCTCCCCAGTAAAGTAGTCACTTCACCAAGCCTGTCTGTATTTAAAAAATGATTGGACTGTGCACTTAGTCACATGGTTAAAACTTTTGGGTAGACTTGTGCGGTGCCAGGAGTTGGACTCGATGATCTTTATGGGTCCCTTCCAACTAGGGTATTATATGATTCTATGTTTCTATGATTCATACATGGGTAAAAGCATCAGTTAACCCTGATACCTAAGAGACTGAATTAACAAAGATTTTTAATATTAAAACTGCTAAACCTATCTATTGTAAACCTTTAACTTCTTCTTAGAAGAATTCTTAATGAATTAATGAGTAAAAGGGATTGGATTACACAGAACTGGAGTGTTTCCAGGGAACACTCCCTGGAAGTGGGAGAAAGGGAGGTATTTATTTCCCGCTCCCCCCCACCCCCCCCACCCCCAGAAGAATCCTTATTAGTTTGCGATTTTTATTGTTTTTCTTAATTATTTCTTAATTATTATGGGCGTGTATATGTATATATATTATGTATTTTAAGTTTATTTTAGTAATACCTATTCTCAATGGATTAGTGATATGATGGAAGAGAAAAACAGCATTTCCAATTAATCCAGAATATCTCTCAAATTCTGTCTAGAAATAATAGTTGGATTTGCACCCAGATGCCTAGAAAGACTGAAAAGACCTTATCCCTGATTGCTATTCCCAGCAGCAACTGTGTCTGGATTCTCTAGATTTCTAAAAAATGACCGATCATACTCAATGCTGGGATGGAATATATTTTGGAGCTGAGCTCCCTACACATAATCCTGGTAGGAATATACAGTTTGATCAAACGTGCCTTTTAAACAACATTGATAGAAACAGAGGGGGCAATATTACAGACTCAGGTAGGGCATATCCATGAAGTACGGAATAATCCATACTGCACCGAATATAATAGCTATGAGAATGTTAATATACATAATGCACAACAGATACAAAATGAGAAACCTGTAGTCTGCTCAGGCCTCCCTCTGATTGGGTGCCTGCTTCCAGACTGGGAAGTGCTCAGATGTAGGTGTACATAGACTTCTAGAGACCCGTGCCGGCTGTATGCCCAGGTGCTGGCACCGGGGGCTGCCGGTGGCCTCTGAGTAAACGCCAGTTTTGGCCCAGTGCTGACACTGCCGGTACCAGCGGCACTGCCGCAATGCATGGCAGAGCCTAGCAGCCAAGTAGGCGCGGCCTCGGGAGAAAGGTTGTCGTGAAAAGGCACCCAAACAGGGCAAAATGCTGCTCAGCACTTCGGGGTGAGGAAGAAAAAGTGTGAGAAACAGCTATGCAAACGCCAAGGTGACAGTCAGAGCGGCTGTACAAAGGGGATTCGAGCTTTGGAGGGCCAGCTGGCACAAGGGGAGGAGAAGGAGGTGCAGGAGGAAGAGAAGGAGGAGCGGGAGGAGGAGCAGGAGGAGGAGAAAGAGTAGGAGGTCTTCCAGCCACCAGAAGCCATTTCTTAATGCAGCGCAGCCCGTGCGAGAGACCACGCCAGAGGAGGTCAATGTGTCCTGAGGGAAGCTGCAGCTCCCAGAGAGCAAGCACAAGAGCGTGCAGGGCACCGTGCATGGGCAGAGCAAGCTGTCCTCCACTGTCTTCTGCTCTAGCAGCTTTGCAGTCTCTTTTCAGAACATGTCCCATCAGAAGAGCCCCTGCAGCGTCTGGGCCTTTGAGTCCTGTTGTTACGTTGCTGTACCCTCTTGGAGGCTGTGGAAACTCAGGTAATTTGGCCCGGCATCTTCAGTGCTATGTGTGGCTTTAAGCCATGAAAGGCAAGGTTAGCCCCTCACGCAGCCCTGCTGAAAGACCGGGGCAGACAAGCAGCTGACTTGTAGCACCGAGAAAAAATGAAGGCACCTTGACGGAAGCATGCAGGAGACATCAGTGCCACAGCACTTCAAGCCCCATAGGCACAGTCACGATGTGCAGGCCACTCGTATTCTCACATCCCCTGCAAAGAGCAGGAACAGTCCACCTGGTTATCGTGAAATGCGCCAACACGCCCTCCACCAAAGCTGATCGCTAAACCCTTTCCACTCCCCAGACTCACAGCTGCAGGCCCACTTGACTACGCATGATATGCTGTGGAACACCTGCTACCAAGCGGCCGGTCAGATCATGAACACTGCAGCAGGCGCAGCTGCTGCTTCTGCTGCTAGCGCAGCTCCACAGAGCCGTGTCTGCAGCTCTTCCAAGCCACCAGCTGGAGGCGCTGGGCATACACCGCGTGGCAGGGCGGGGAAAGGGCCCTTTGTGAAGGGCAGGACTAAACTGCTGAGTGGCTCTCCCAGAGGTGGGACGGGCCAGGACAGGCAATGCCTCCCACCCACCCGCAGCGGCGGGCACCATTTTGTTTCGGTCCGCATTCCACAGTGAGCAGCCGCCATTTTGTGAAAGGACCCAACCCACCTGGTTTTGTACCGCTCTCTGATTGGCTTAGTGGCGTTTCTTATTAAAACCCTGTTGTCTGCTCAGGCCTCCCTCTGATTGGGTGCCTGCTTCCAGACTGGGAAGTGCTCAGATGTAGGTGTACATACACTTCTAGAGACCCGTGCCGGCTGTATGCCCAGGTGCTGGCACCGGGGGCTGCCGGTGGCCTCTGAGTAAACGCCAGTTTTGGCCCAGTGCTGACACTGCCGGTACCAGCGGCACTGCCGCAATGCATGGCAGAGCCTAGCAGCCAAGTAGGCGCGGCCTCGGGAGAAAGGTTGTCGTGAAAAGGCACCCAAACAGGGCAAAATGCTGCTCAGCACTTCGGGGTGAGGAAGAAAAAGTGTGAGAAACAGCTATGCAAACGCCAAGGTGACAGTCAGAGCGGCTGTACAAAGGGGATTCGAGCTTTGGAGGGCCAGCTGGCACAAGGGGAGGAGAAGGAGGTGCAGGAGGAAGAGAAGGAGGAGCGGGAGGAGGAGCAGGAGGAGGAGAAAGAGTAGGAGGTCTTCCAGCCACCAGAAGCCATTTCTTAATGCAGCGCAGCCCGTGCGAGAGACCACGCCAGAGGAGGTCAATGTGTCCTGAGGGAAGCTGCAGCTCCCAGAGAGCAAGCACAAGAGCGTGCAGGGCACCGTGCATGGGCAGAGCAAGCTGTCCTCCACTGTCTTCTGCTCTAGCAGCTTTGCAGTCTCTTTTCAGAACATGTCCCATCAGAAGAGCCCCTGCAGCGTCTGGGCCTTTGAGTCCTGTTGTTACGTTGCTGTACCCTCTTGGAGGCTGTGGAAACTCAGGTAATTTGGCCCGGCATCTTCAGTGCTATGTGTGGCTTTAAGCCATGAAAGGCAAGGTTAGCCCCTCACGCAGCCCTGCTGAAAGACCGGGGCAGACAAGCAGCTGACTTGTAGCACCGAGAAAAAATGAAGGCACCTTGACGGAAGCATGCAGGAGACATCAGTGCCACAGCACTTCAAGCCCCATAGGCACAGTCACGATGTGCAGGCCACTCGTATTCTCACATCCCCTGCAAAGAGCAGGAACAGTCCACCTGGTTATCGTGAAATGCGCCAACACGCCCTCCACCAAAGCTGATCGCTAAACCCTTTCCACTCCCCAGACTCACAGCTGCAGGCCCACTTGACTACGCATGATATGCTGTGGAACACCTGCTACCAAGCGGCCGGTCAGATCATGAACACTGCAGCAGGCGCAGCTGCTGCTTCTGCTGCTAGCGCAGCTCCACAGAGCCGTGTCTGCAGCTCTTCCAAGCCACCAGCTGGAGGCGCTGGGCATACACCGCGTGGCAGGGCGGGGAAAGGGCCCTTTGTGAAGGGCAGGACTAAACTGCTGAGTGGCTCTCCCAGAGGTGGGACGGGCCAGGACAGGCAATGCCTCCCACCCACCCGCAGCGGCGGGCACCATTTTGTTTCGGTCCGCATTCCACAGTGAGCAGCCGCCATTTTGTGAAAGGACCCAACCCACCTGGTTTTGTACCGCTCTCTGATTGGCTTAGTGGCGTTTCTTATTAAAACCCTGTTGTCTGCTCAGGCCTCCCTCTGATTGGGTGCCTGCTTCCAGACTGGGAAGTGCTCAGATGTAGGTGTACATAGACTTCTAGAGACCCGTGCCGGCTGTATGCCCAGGTGCTGGCACCGGGGGCTGCCGGTGGCCTCTGAGTAAACGCCAGTTTTGGCCCAGTGCTGACACTGCCGGTACCAGCGGCACTGCCGCAATGCATGGCAGAGCCTAGCAGCCAAGTAGGCGCGGCCTCGGGAGAAAGGTTGTCGTGAAAAGGCACCCAAACAGGGCAAAATGCTGCTCAGCACTTCGGGGTGAGGAAGAAAAAGTGTGAGAAACAGCTATGCAAACGCCAAGGTGACAGTCAGAGCGGCTGTACAAAGGGGATTCGAGCTTTGGAGGGCCAGCTGGCACAAGGGGAGGAGAAGGAGGTGCAGGAGGAAGAGAAGGAGGAGCGGGAGGAGGAGCAGGAGGAGGAGAAAGAGTAGGAGGTCTTCCAGCCACCAGAAGCCATTTCTTAATGCAGCGCAGCCCGTGCGAGAGACCACGCCAGAGGAGGTCAATGTGTCCTGAGGGAAGCTGCAGCTCCCAGAGAGCAAGCACAAGAGCGTGCAGGGCACCGTGCATGGGCAGAGCAAGCTGTCCTCCACTGTCTTCTGCTCTAGCAGCTTTGCAGTCTCTTTTCAGAACATGTCCCATCAGAAGAGCCCCTGCAGCGTCTGGGCCTTTGAGTCCTGTTGTTACGTTGCTGTACCCTCTTGGAGGCTGTGGAAACTCAGGTAATTTGGCCCGGCATCTTCAGTGCTATGTGTGGCTTTAAGCCATGAAAGGCAAGGTTAGCCCCTCACGCAGCCCTGCTGAAAGACCGGGGCAGACAAGCAGCTGACTTGTAGCACCGAGAAAAAATGAAGGCACCTTGACGGAAGCATGCAGGAGACATCAGTGCCACAGCACTTCAAGCCCCATAGGCACAGTCACGATGTGCAGGCCACTCGTATTCTCACATCCCCTGCAAAGAGCAGGAACAGTCCACCTGGTTATCGTGAAATGCGCCAACACGCCCTCCACCAAAGCTGATCGCTAAACCCTTTCCACTCCCCAGACTCACAGCTGCAGGCCCACTTGACTACGCATGATATGCTGTGGAACACCTGCTACCAAGCGGCCGGTCAGATCATGAACACTGCAGCAGGCGCAGCTGCTGCTTCTGCTGCTAGCGCAGCTCCACAGAGCCGTGTCTGCAGCTCTTCCAAGCCACCAGCTGGAGGCGCTGGGCATACACCGCGTGGCAGGGCGGGGAAAGGGCCCTTTGTGAAGGGCAGGACTAAACTGCTGAGTGGCTCTCCCAGAGGTGGGACGGGCCAGGACAGGCAATGCCTCCCACCCACCCGCAGCGGCGGGCACCATTTTGTTTCGGTCCGCATTCCACAGTGAGCAGCCGCCATTTTGTGAAAGGACCCAACCCACCTGGTTTTGTACCGCTCTCTGATTGGCTTAGTGGCGTTTCTTATTAAAACCCTGTTGTCTGCTCAGGCCTCCCTCTGATTGGGTGCCTGCTTCCAGACTGGGAAGTGCTCAGATGTAGGTGTACATAGACTTCTAGAGACCCGTGCCGGCTGTATGCCCAGGTGCTGGCACCGGGGGCTGCCGGTGGCCTCTGAGTAAACGCCAGTTTTGGCCCAGTGCTGACACTGCCGGTACCAGCGGCACTGCCGCAATGCATGGCGGAGCCTAGCAGCCAAGTAGGCGCGGCCTCGGGAGAAAGGTTGTCGTGAAAAGGCACCCAAACAGGGCAAAATGCTGCTCAGCACTTCGGGGTGAGGAAGAAAAAGTGTGAGAAACAGCTATGCAAACGCCAAGGTGACAGTCAGAGCGGCTGTACAAAGGGGATTCGAGCTTTGGAGGGCCAGCTGGCACAAGGGGAGGAGAAGGAGGTGCAGGAGGAAGAGAAGGAGGAGCGGGAGGAGGAGCAGGAGGAGGAGAAAGAGTAGGAGGTCTTCCAGCCACCAGAAGCCATTTCTTAATGCAGCGCAGCCCGTGCGAGAGACCACGCCAGAGGAGGTCAATGTGTCCTGAGGGAAGCTGCAGCTCCCAGAGAGCAAGCACAAGAGCGTGCAGGGCACCGTGCATGGGCAGAGCAAGCTGTCCTCCACTGTCTTCTGCTCTAGCAGCTTTGCAGTCTCTTTTCAGAACATGTCCCATCAGAAGAGCCCCTGCAGCGTCTGGGCCTTTGAGTCCTGTTGTTACGTTGCTGTACCCTCTTGGAGGCTGTGGAAACTCAGGTAATTTGGCCCGGCATCTTCAGTGCTATGTGTGGCTTTAAGCCATGAAAGGCAAGGTTAGCCCCTCACGCAGCCCTGCTGAAAGACCGGGGCAGACAAGCAGCTGACTTGTAGCACCGAGAAAAAATGAAGGCACCTTGACGGAAGCATGCAGGAGACATCAGTGCCACAGCACTTCAAGCCCCATAGGCACAGTCACGATGTGCAGGCCACTCGTATTCTCACATCCCCTGCAAAGAGCAGGAACAGTCCACCTGGTTATCGTGAAATGCGCCAACACGCCCTCCACCAAAGCTGATCGCTAAACCCTTTCCACTCCCCAGACTCACAGCTGCAGGCCCACTTGACTACGCATGATATGCTGTGGAACACCTGCTACCAAGCGGCCGGTCAGATCATGAACACTGCAGCAGGCGCAGCTGCTGCTTCTGCTGCTAGCGCAGCTCCACAGAGCCGTGTCTGCAGCTCTTCCAAGCCACCAGCTGGAGGCGCTGGGCATACACCGCGTGGCAGGGCGGGGAAAGGGCCCTTTGTGAAGGGCAGGACTAAACTGCTGAGTGGCTCTCCCAGAGGTGGGACGGGCCAGGACAGGCAATGCCTCCCACCCACCCGCAGCGGCGGGCACCATTTTGTTTCGGTCCGCATTCCACAGTGAGCAGCCGCCATTTTGTGAAAGGACCCAACCCACCTGGTTTTGTACCGCTCTCTGATTGGCTTAGTGGCGTTTCTTATTAAAACCCTGTTGTCTGCTCAGGCCTCCCTCTGATTGGGTGCCTGCTTCCAGACTGGGAAGTGCTCAGATGTAGGTGTACATAGACTTCTAGAGACCCGTGCCGGCTGTATGCCCAGGTGCTGGCACCGGGGGCTGCCGGTGGCCTCTGAGTAAACGCCAGTTTTGGCCCAGTGCTGACACTGCCGGTACCAGCGGCACTGCCGCAATGCATGGCGGAGCCTAGCAGCCAAGTAGGCGCGGCCTCGGGAGAAAGGTTGTCGTGAAAAGGCACCCAAACAGGGCAAAATGCTGCTCAGCACTTCGGGGTGAGGAAGAAAAAGTGTGAGAAACAGCTATGCAAACGCCAAGGTGACAGTCAGAGCGGCTGTACAAAGGGGATTCGAGCTTTGGAGGGCCAGCTGGCACAAGGGGAGGAGAAGGAGGTGCAGGAGGAAGAGAAGGAGGAGCGGGAGGAGGAGCAGGAGGAGGAGAAAGAGTAGGAGGTCTTCCAGCCACCAGAAGCCATTTCTTAATGCAGCGCAGCCCGTGCGAGAGACCACGCCAGAGGAGGTCAATGTGTCCTGAGGGAAGCTGCAGCTCCCAGAGAGCAAGCACAAGAGCGTGCAGGGCACCGTGCATGGGCAGAGCAAGCTGTCCTCCACTGTCTTCTGCTCTAGCAGCTTTGCAGTCTCTTTTCAGAACATGTCCCATCAGAAGAGCCCCTGCAGCGTCTGGGCCTTTGAGTCCTGTTGTTACGTTGCTGTACCCTCTTGGAGGCTGTGGAAACTCAGGTAATTTGGCCCGGCATCTTCAGTGCTATGTGTGGCTTTAAGCCATGAAAGGCAAGGTTAGCCCCTCACGCAGCCCTGCTGAAAGACCGGGGCAGACAAGCAGCTGACTTGTAGCACCGAGAAAAAATGAAGGCACCTTGACGGAAGCATGCAGGAGACATCAGTGCCACAGCACTTCAAGCCCCATAGGCACAGTCACGATGTGCAGGCCACTCGTATTCTCACATCCCCTGCAAAGAGCAGGAACAGTCCACCTGGTTATCGTGAAATGCGCCAACACGCCCTCCACCAAAGCTGATCGCTAAACCCTTTCCACTCCCCAGACTCACAGCTGCAGGCCCACTTGACTACGCATGATATGCTGTGGAACACCTGCTACCAAGCGGCCGGTCAGATCATGAACACTGCAGCAGGCGCAGCTGCTGCTTCTGCTGCTAGCGCAGCTCCACAGAGCCGTGTCTGCAGCTCTTCCAAGCCACCAGCTGGAGGCGCTGGGCATACACCGCGTGGCAGGGCGGGGAAAGGGCCCTTTGTGAAGGGCAGGACTAAACTGCTGAGTGGCTCTCCCAGAGGTGGGACGGGCCAGGACAGGCAATGCCTCCCACCCACCCGCAGCGGCGGGCACCATTTTGTTTCGGTCCGCATTCCACAGTGAGCAGCCGCCATTTTGTGAAAGGACCCAACCCACCTGGTTTTGTACCGCTCTCTGATTGGCTTAGTGGCGTTTCTTATTAAAACCCTGTTGTCTGCTCAGGCCTCCCTCTGATTGGGTGCCTGCTTCCAGACTGGGAAGTGCTCAGATGTAGGTGTACATAGACTTCTAGAGACCCGTGCCGGCTGTATGCCCAGGTGCTGGCACCGGGGGCTGCCGGTGGCCTCTGAGTAAACGCCAGTTTTGGCCCAGTGCTGACACTGCCGGTACCAGCGGCACTGCCGCAATGCATGGGGACCTAGCAGCCAAGTAGGCGCGGCCTCGGGAGAAAGGTTGTCGTGAAAAGGCACCCAAAAGGGCAAAATGCTGCTCAGCACTTCGGGGTGAGGAAGAAAAAGTGTGAGAAACAGCTATGCAAACGCCAAGGTGACAGTCAGAGCGGCTGTACAAAGGGGATTCGAGA